CATTTAGTCACATACAAGTCCCGCTCTTCAATGGTTTATATACCATAACTCTCACCAAATGGCATGCATTCATCATTCACCAAAATGGTAACATTCACCAAATGGCATGCCTGTTTAGTTTTGTATTGGGACATTGGTGGGACAGGGACAGTGAGGGGTGCAGACAACATCCTGTATTATGCTGGACATCTTGTCTCAGAGTGGTGGTATATAGAATGTTTTTTATCCCACCAAAATAATGAGATGCTATGAGTTTAATCTTTCCACATTTCAACAGATGTAGCAAAAATAGCTTAGTTACAGTAACTCCAATGAAGATAAGAGAATACCTTCACTGCATCATACTCATATATATATATGTGTAATGTGTAATGTACATACAGAGAGATACATCCTTACAAGTAATGCAAATATACGAAGAAGAAATTCAGATTGCACATTTTGAAATTGAGACAAAACTTTTGAACACTCACCTTTTCTTTGTTTTCAGCAAGGATAGAAACATTAAGCATAGTTGCCCTTCAGCTATTCAGTCTCTCTTTGCTTATTACATTCATACCGCAGGTAAACCCAAGACCAGAGGGTGAGAGACAGAGTCATTGGCGTCTCTCAGAGAGAGTCCTATAGAGTTCCTAGTGAATCTCAGCCAGGTGTGTCCCTGGCCTTTAGTCAAAGTCATAGTACTCAAGGACATTTGGCACTCAGTCAAATATTAGTTTACATCACAGTCATTTAGTTTGGCCTACCCAACCTTTATATCAACCAATCAATACATATTCCATCACAGGCATATTATTATCACCATTAACATACAGGTTCAACAGGTTTCCATTGCTCTGGTCTTAGAAGAGCATTAGCTCAGCATGTGATTGGATGAAAATAACAGACCCCTGTCAGCATCATCGTCACCCACCAGTGGATATCACACATGCATTCAATGGTAAATAAATAAACAAATGAACAAACAAACAAATATTTTGAAGTACAGTACCAAATCAATGTAACATTGAGCTACTTTGTTTGTACCTTGGTAATATTATGGCACTAAGTGCATTTTGGACCTAGAGTGGCATTTTGAGGGGCTGTGGAAGGAAATTTACTTATTTTCACATAATACAGAGCATTGTGGCAAGAAACGCCACCTTATGGTGATCTGTCTGTCAGGCAGTTGTGATGAAATTACAGAAAAGAGCAAAAACCAGTTGTTTGAATGAAATTCTGGTCAAACTTTATTTTATGGTACACATATTAGCCACTAATTTGTAGTTTATAACTGTGTATATACGTAGCTCATAAGGCCTTTACTGTGTCTTATTAGCTATACATTAGACCTTAATTAAGTGTTTTTTTATTTAAACATAAGTCATGTGTTACCGGACAATCCTTAATCGTTCATCTTTTCTCGCATTTTCAAGGAACATCAAAGTGACAACATTGATATGACAAGATATGATTCCCAAAAAGTCCTTTGTGGTCAATAAAGTGTCACTATTTCTGGTAACACTTTAGTATAGGGAACACACTTTAAGGTACTATTCCTGTGTACCTTTAAAATTAAGTGTCACCAAATTGATTAATTGATAACAATGACTGACTAATGAATATATAAACCGTCAAACCTTTAGAAACAGTCCGAACCACTGTATCAGTGCAAACACGATACACAGATATGTTTGCCATATGCCTTCTGATATCTAACCTGACCCTTTAAAAGGCTTCAACATTCGAAAGCCACACATCCTCCAGAAAGCTTGGCAACAGTCACTTATGGCACAATTAAGTCAGGTGTTGAGTAAGCGCAAATCTGCTGTATAAGACAATCAAGAAAACAGAAACAAACATTTTTTCACGTGCTAATCTAAGCATGTATACAATAACAAAGTTATATAACAGGGGGCCTGAGAGAGGAGGGTCTTACTTACAATGCTGATTCACATAAAAACAGGGGATCAAATACAACAGACCTGTAGAACCATCAACATTAACACCTCGAACCTCGCACACATTGGTCTGAATAAACCTCATCTCCAACAATACAACTCTATTAAACCATTATTGCGAAATGTAAACACCCTTTAAATGTATCATGAAAATATATGTGTGCAAACGGATATATCCCTGTCTGAAAAATATCCACCAATAGTGAGTAGACCTACGTATCTCTTTCCATTAGATTAAATAAGCAGTTATGAGGATTACAGTTGCTAGGCCTGTGCGGCACCTTCAGCCACATTACTTCAGATTAGACAGCCAGATTGTAATGAAAACAAGGTTTGGTATGTGGATTATCACACCAATCCAAGTGAAATAAGAAATAGAAATGAGAAATTTAAACTTCTTTGAATTACAAACACATTTTCATACTGGTAGCCCTGATGCAGTGATCTTGAGTGAATAAGAAAATGGTAGTTCCATTTACTAAACAATATGGTAAACAATTAAGCAATAAGGCCCGGGGGGGTGTGGTATATGGCCAATATACCACGGCTAAGGGCTGTTCTTATGCACAGCCGTTAGCCGTGATATATTGGCCATATATCACAAACCCCAGAAGTGCCTTATTGCTATTATAAACTGGTTACCAATGTAATTAGAGCAGTAAAAATAAATGTTTTGTCATACCCGTGGTATACGGTCTGATATACAACAGCTGTCAGCCAATCAGCATTCAGGGTTCGAACCACCCAGTTTATAATCCTGCATAGACACTACCACCCCAACCTCTTCTTACTATCTGAACTTCTACCATGACAAATAGCTTACATACTGTCTCAATATGTTTATAGCAGCATAAAACCACTGGAGTTGTGAAGACTAGATAGATATAACGAATCCGTTGTCTCACTCCAATATGGCTGTCAATGTATAGCCTAGTCTATGAGGTGAAATGTGTCTTTCTTGCCCTTTATTGTCCAGTTGACCTGGATCAGCTAGACAAATTCATGAGGAGGAGTACAAAGGGTTAACAATATATAAACCCTGACCCCGTACAGTATGTATCAAGAGTCTCAGAGTAGGAATGCTGATCTAGGATCCGTTTTTCCTTTTAGATCATAATGAATACAATTACATGGACAGGGGAGAACTGATCCTAGATCAGCACTCCTACTCTTGATATATATGGCCCTTGACCTCCAAGCTCTTTCCTTTGTTTTTGACATGTAGGCTAACTCCTTGCCTCTTAGCCCTCAGGTTTTCTATTACACATCCTAATGGCACATTGATTTGATTCATAATTTTCAAACAGGTAACAGTAAAGATTTGGCACTTTAATATATTAATACAGTCTTTCTTCTTCAGAATGTAATGTTATTAATTACAGGCATAACAATGGTATTACAATGGTGTCCCAGACAGTATGATGATGACTGGTGATACTTTGGTCTCCAAATCACCAACTGACTAGATTACGAAAAACTGTTTGTCACATTTTTTAGCAAAACAATCACAATATAGACATCTCAATGAATAAATAAATAAATACATAATATCCTCAGCCAAATGCTCAATGATATAAGACTTTCCCATCAACAGTTAACATTAAACATACTGATATATTCCCCTTTAAACAGACCCTCAGTTGATAACCCTCAGTTATCAATCTGATACTTACTAAAATAGTAAACCAGTACTTTTTATGTGAGGTTATTATTAATATATTTAAGCCATTATCACAGGTTATCAACTTCTCTAAAAAATGTAAGTTGCTATTGGTCTCTATAATGTTGCAAAAAAACAACAACATCCATACAATATTTGGGCCTGTGTGATGACATCACCATCTCGAAGGAGTTTGTCAGATCACAACCTTTCTGTTACTCCAGAGCAGGGATTCTGAACTGTGGGGACTTCAAAGGTAAAAAAGTGCAAAGGTAACCATAGTTTAGGAATTAGATATGGATTCCTATTCAAGTGGAATGATATGGGGTCAGAGATGAATTCAATCATCTCAATAGCTATGTCGTGTGCGTGTGCGGATGTTGAAAATCTATCAACACTCTGTATCATGCCATCAAGGTTACTATTATTTCCATTTTAGATTCAATTTCAACGTGAAAAATGTATGATATTTAATCTTGGATTGAGAGAGAGAAAATCTATTCATACATTTTATTTCTGTTATGGGGTCTTTTTTAGACTAAAAATATCATACTGGATAGGATGTAAGATTACAATTCCAAAGGATAATGTGCAAACTGTACTGCTCTGTACTAATTCCTGAGGGCAGATAGTTGTAAATATATATAATCAACTGTCCTTTCTATCAGTCACAGGGTCAGAAGAAGTGCTAGTGAGGTGAAGAATGCACATTATTATAATTAAATTGAGGGAATAACAAACTGTTTTTCATATCAGAAAATGTTCAGTCAATTTTACAATGTAGACTAGTAAACCTGAACACGATAGTGGCCCATGTTCGTAAACAGGGACGTAAAAGAAATAAAACAACAACACTGAATGATAACGGAATGAGGAACCTAGCTACTTTATGATGGGCAATACTCTTATATCTAAAATCAACCATCAACTCGTCCATTCCTGCTCCCACCCTGAACCAAACCCGGGGCCTTGGCACGCAACGCAACCACCACAAAGCTAAAAAAAAAAAAACACTGCCAAAAGGTTTAACCCAAAACAATGGTAGCTAAAGGGTTTAACCATAAACCCAGCCAACCACGACCAAGGTTTCTGCTGCTAACTCAGACAGCATCTCACCACAGTGAGAAAGTGACCCACAATAATATGGCAACTTCAAACCAATCTTGCTCCATAAAGTGGAATATGCACAGATAGGTTTTAGTTAGTTTTCTAATTAGGTACCTGTATATAATCCATCTGGCCAGGACAGGACATGACAGGACAGGACAGGCAGATGGAAGGATGAGAATGAGGGATCCAGTGTGCTGCTGAGTTGCCTATACCTGTCTGTCCACCCAAACCTGTTTCTCTCTCTACTCCCTCCCTTCATGTTTCTCTGTCTCTTCCCCTCCTCACTGCGTCTACAGAGGCAGGTCTGTGCTATTGTGGCGAGTCTTTCTCGATGTCCCATCGTCCCGGGGGAGGGCTTTCTGCAGGTTGGACATGGCTGCTGTCTTCTTCAGGTCAATCACAGCGTAGAACTCACTGCGCCGTGGGGCCTGCTGGGGGCCACATTTGAGGGGCGGCAGGCGCTGGTGCTGTGGCTGGGGCTGAGACTGGGCTCCCCCTCCTCCACTCCCACCGAGGGCCTGGCATGGAGGCTCCGCATCGAGGTCCACCTGGATGTAGTTGAGCTGCCTCGACGGGGGCATGTGACCGTGCTCGCAACCCTCCCCCCGACCAAACCCTCCTCCAGGCCGCCTACGGAAATCAAAGCTGAATATTCGGCCGCCCCGGTCCGACTGGCGGTGGCACGGCTGGAGGTGCTGGGGGTGAGGGGGGCAGGCATGTCGCAGCCGACTGGGCTGGACCTGCTCTGTGTTGACATAGTTCTGCAGGGCGTCGCGGTGGATCCCCCCCCTCCCCAGCCCTTCCTGGTGGTACCCGTTGGGCGTCCCTGGACCCTCTGAAAACTCGTACTCGTCAAAGTCCTCCTCCTCTTCCTCGTACTCCTCCTCATCCTGTTCCTCGTCATCCTCGTCCTGCTCCTCGTCTCTCTGCAGGGCGCGGTACTCCCACACCGGCGGCAGCGACGGCAGGTTCTCGTAGTTGAGCAGAGCTGTCCGCCGGTGACCCCCGCCCATCCCCGCGCCCCGCTCACAGGGGTACCCCTGGGGGGGCAGAGAAGATGGGCCGTGGGGGTGCGGGTGGAGTGGGTGTGGGTGTGATTGTGGGTGAGAGTGACTGTCTCCGGTGGTGCTGCTGCTGCTGCTGGAGCCCACAGACTGGGACATGCTGCTGGGGCTAAGTCTCAGCCGGCGGCCCCCCCTTAGGCCATTGATATTCTCGTAGGTGAGCTGGCAGCCCTCCTGGTGCTCGTGGCCAGGGTGCCGGTGCATCACGTGGTGGTAGTGAGGGTGGTGATAGGAGTGGGAGTTGCACACGTGCAGAGGAGGTTCGTCCCCCTCTGTCTCTGAACCTGTGGTGCCCTCTACAGGCCGCATGGCGTGGGGATTGTGACCACCGTGCCTCTCCCTCTCTCTCTCCAGCAGGTGGCGCTGTGCAGGGGTGGGTCCCAGCATGAATTTGACCTCCTGAGAGGAAGGCTGAAGGAATACCTGGGGTTCCTTGCGTTGTTCCTCCAGGGGACAACAGTGCATGCTGGCCTGCCCACCTCCTTGGCCCACGACAGGCATGGCTCCCCGGGTTGACTCGGGGAAGGAAGTAGGCCGCACCTCGGGTAGGGAGTGTACACAGTGTCGACTGGAGAGTTCCCCATCCACAGTAACAGTATTCACATAGGTGTGAGCCTGCAGAGGGAGAGGGAGGGAGAGAGAGAGAGAGAGAGAGGAGAGAGAGAGAGAGAGAGAGAAGAGAGAGAGAGAGAGAGAGAGAGAGAGAGAGAGAGATAGAGGAGAATAGAGAGATAGATAGAAGAGAGATAGAGCTGAGAGTAGATAGAGAGAGATCTCTCTCTCTCTCTCTCTCTCTCTCTCTCTCTCTCCTCTCTCTCTCTCTCTCCTCTCTCTCTCTCTCCTCTCTCTCTCTTCTCTCTCTCTCTCTCATCTCTCGCTCTCTCTCTCTCTTCGTCCTTCCTAAAGAGCATCACCCTTCCCTAGGATATTACAGACACATTGCAAGGTGAGGAGTCAGCAGTGGTTACAGTGCTGCTCGGTTCGGCACTATAATGTGAAAATCATACTGGAGAGGTGAGGGGTCAGTCTTACCTGGTCCTCCAGGCCCATGTGGCTGTGGCCGTGGGGGTCGTCAGTTAGAGAGGGCTGGGAGGATTCAGCTCTCATGGGATACCCCGGGTACCCGTTGGGAAAACCCTGGACGGGGAAAGCTGGAGCTGGAGACAGAGAACAATACACACGGTGTTGAATGGGAGTCTGGGTGAATGAGGTTAGATGTTTTTATGTCTAATGGCGTGTGTGTGTTTCCGGGTCTCCGTTAGCCGGTAATAGCTGGCTTTTGTCCGATAAAAAAATATGAAAAGCTGATAAATAAAATTGGAGCTGGCGCCGGCCAATTGTTCGGGAGAAGAAGAAAAATCCCATTGCAAAATAATCATTTTTAGCCTATTCATTGATGGAAATATCAGGCTATGTAAATTCATTTGTCATGCTTTTCAGTCTATATGTTAATTTGCATAACTTTGTGGAATTAAATTGCCGTGTGTATTGTTGTTAGTTCTTATGTATCTTATTTATCACATGCGCACAGCATACAGATATAGAGCCTAGTTTCAGTGGAAAATCTGTCAGACAGCAGGAGAGTTGCTGCTACAGCTCCTCTAACAGATTGTTTGTTGCTGCTGTAGTGAAACGTGCTTTTATAAGCCCAATGATTACGCAACAATTCTAAATGCAATTGCATGTCAAAAACAGTTTTGATGGCCACGATTAAAAATAGCTATTATTTTTATTTCTCAACTGGTAGCCTAATTGAAGCACACTTCCCATTTGCCATTTAAGTGCATCTATAGGCAACGTTAGGCAGGCTTTAGACCGTCACACACCCCTTTGCCATAAGCTGGAGGCAGTATGCATTTTGAAACCATACACTTATTTGTTTGAAACCTTAATTTTTTCCTTCATATTATGAGGCATGTCTTACCTTGCTTCAAAGTAGCCTAGCAAAAATCTGACCATATCGTGTAGGCAATTATTTTATAAAGACTTCCATATTGCAACCAGTAGCCTATTTCTCTCATGTTCTATTGGTTTTCAAATCAATTTTCTTTAATTGTCCAGTAGCCAAAGGTACAATCTAGTCATATTAGCAACCCATGCTAGTTGTTAAATCTTTAGATCTCCCCTCTATCTATATTTCTAAGTTTCACATGAAATCCCTCTCATGTGTGCACAGTCCAGCTTTTGACAAGTGTTTTCCTGCAAATTGCATTATGGAACGAATATTTGCGTGTAGCCTACTGCCTTGTGCACATTGCTGTGCTTATAATATGAATAAATAATAGTTTAGCAACATTTTACGCTAAACGTTCTGATCTGTTGCATCAGCCTCATTGCTTTTTAACGTTAATTCTTATGTAGCCTAGGCCTACTGGTTGTATGAATTTGGGATCTATTGTCCCACAACTGTCCCAGAGTCTGTTTGGAATAGGCTATTTCTTTCTCGCACAGAACGATAAGCTGACTAATAGAATAGGTAAACTTTTCTACTATGGGGGATAGTAGATTGACATAGGCTAGTGATTTTGCTGTTCGTTACTCGTCTTGTTGGCTGAGAAAATGTGGACAGTTATTCTAACATCTTCAAAGTGTGCATCGGAATTTGGTAAGAAGGACACATGCCGTTGCATCCTCGAGTTGCATGTTCTGTTAAAATGAACTACCATAATCTATAAATCTAATAAAATGTGATTTCTGTCATTTTGAGTACCTAATCAGTTACGCAGCCAATGCATATGGGTCCGGTAAATTTCTCAAATGTCTGGTCAATTAAAATGCTGCTGGTCAATTGTCCGGCGCCACATTTTCCTAACGGAAACCCTGGTGTGTGTGTGTGTGTCACGCCCTGGCTCTGGGGACTCTTTAATGTTGAGCCAGGGTGTTAGTTTCTATGTTTTGTGTTTCTATGTTGGCCGGGGTGGTTCTCAATCAGAGGCAACGTGAATCAGCTGTTGCTTGTTGTCTCTGATTGGGAACCATACTTAGGTAGTCGTTTGGCATTTGTGTGGTGTGGTATCTTGTTCCGTGTAAGGTTTGTGTTTGGTAACCTTGGACTTCACGTATCGTTTGTTGTTTTTGTTCGTGTGTGGTACATCTAATAAATTATGTACGCATATCACGCTGTGCCTTGGCCCGCTTCATTAAATGACGATCGTGACAGTGTGTATGTGTGTGTATGTGTGTGTGGTGTATTGCATAGACTGATTAGTAATGTAACCTTTGTTTTACCCCCAAGTCATTGTGTTTTCTACCCTTCCACCTCCCTGTCTGCTCTACTCGTCCACCTCCCTACCTGCCTCTGAACAGGTTGGCTCATGGAAACTGGGTTTGACGAAAGGATTTACTGGAAGACATTTCGGCACCAGATCCCTGATATCCGGAAATATTACTGAGTTTCCCCCCCAAACTATTTTCAAATCTTCAAACACATATTCTCAGCTTTTGCTTCACATCTGTCCTGCATTGCAGTGAAATTGCTACACAAACACCTTCACAGCCTTCAACAAAAGCAAAGATGCAATCATGTACTGTAGATGACACACACGTGTGTACTGGATGTTTGTGTGTGTGTTTATATTTGTGTTTGTGCTTACTGTTGGGTGTCTGTGGGGTGCGAGGCATGTCTATCTCTCGTGCATGCCCGCTGCCGGGCATGATCATAGGCTCCTCCACCACATTGATACTGTTGCACTGCATCAGCTCCTGGAGAAGGTTGAAGATCTCCTCCGCACGAGAACATTTAAACGCAAAGATTCCTGCACGACCACAGAGAAAACACACACATAAATGTTGAAGTTATCTTAAATGAATCCAAAACTGTTGCTGTTTGAATGCAAAGATTCCTGACCGAAAGGAAAACCCAGAAGCAAATGTATAAGTTATCTGACAATTCACTCAATGACAACAACCAACTTTAGGCTGCTAATATAACAGCAGCTGGCCAATCAGTTAAGTACAATTCTCCCATTCTAAAAGTAGAACACAAACATTGCCCCTATTCAGCTCTGCATATACACATGTATGTACACACATTTCATAGGGCAACATTTTGTCTATGTAGTATTAGCTATTCCCGGTGTTTCAGATTCACCCTGTCCAGTCTGGCAGCGCCGGCCACTCTCGAATGAGAAGAGGTTGGAGTCGTAGCCGTAGCGCCGCAGACACAGGTAGGGCCACCGAATGGCGTCCCTCTTGCGTGTGTGCAGGATGAGCTCGGTCTGGGTGAGCTCCATGGTCCCAGAGCCCAACTCATTCCCCTCATCATCCACATTGGTTACCTGCCATAGGAAAATACCAAAAAGTACAATCAAGTTATCCCAGTCATGTTTGTGGTCCCACTTGAAACGAGCTACAACTTATAAAGGCTTTATATAGCATACATATAGTCTTCGTAAGCACGACATAGATGCAGAGCATAAATATGTGGCTAAATTAAGAAGACAGGTTATTGTATTTGGAGGTACATTGTCTATAATGCAGTCATTAACTGTATACAAAGATTAACAGAGCACAGTACAGATATTAGGTATCATTAGATAGCTGGATAGCTGACTATCCATTGCTCGATGTGAGCAATAATAGCAGAGGGAATAGGACAAAAAAACAGGAAAGAACAGTTCCTCATAACAATAATATACCATCGACTACACTCTCAGAAAAAAAAGTGCTATCTAGAACGTAAATGGTTCTTCGGCTGTCCCCATAGGAGAACCCTTTGAAGAAACCTTGTTGGTTCCATGTAGAACCGTTTTGGGTTCCTGTAGAACCCTTTCCAAAGAGGGTTCTACATGGAACCCAAAATGGTTCTATCTGGAACCAAACTGGGTTTTCCCTGGAACCAAAAAGTGTTCTCCAATGGGGACAGCCGAAAAACACTTTTGGAACCCTTTTTTCTAAGAGTGTTGGTAGCTGATACAACACACACTAGGTAGCAAACAGATGAGGGTTTAGAGATGAACCTTGAATTTGGTGAGATGGTTGTCTTGGATGGGGTCTCTGTATAGACAGCTCCAACAGCTCCCCATAGCTTCAGCAGGACAGCTGAAACCTACAGGACAGAGGGAAAGATACAGTAGATAGACATTATCCTATGAACACACACGCACGCACGCACACACACACACGCACGCAGTATTCCTACCCAGTCCAGGCCATCAGTGGGAGTGATCCCAGCATCAATCCCAGAGTCCTCTGCTGAGTGTCATGGTGGAGAGAGAGCTAGTAAATTGGATGGACATCTTCAACAGGAGCAGTATTTTCTCCCTCCTGCAAGAGAGGAGAGTAACATGGTTAAATAATGGAAAGAAGGTTTACTACTGGGCCTGTATTCATAAAGTGTCTCAGAGTAGGAGTGCTGATCTAGGATCAGGCACCCCTCTAATCAATAATGATCTAAAAGGTTAAACTGATCCTAGATCAGCACTCCTACTCTGAGACGCTTTATGAATACGGGCCCTGGTTTACAATATATATTTTTTTTTTTTACCAAAGTGAAGTCACCCAAACTCTGAGTATGAAGTAGACTAGGCCTAACTCATCACCTGTATACCAGAAATAAATGAGGACAACAATATCCAAGATAAAACCAGACATTAGAAGTGTGGGTCATGAATCCAAAGCGTTTAGTGTAGTCTGGTGCCACCCTTGGGACCAGAGATAAATAGCATGTCAGCTGGCCCAGATATTGGTATTTCCACTACTATGATGCATCATTTATTTTAATTGATGGTCATGTTGCATTTGCTACATTACCATGTTTATTAGGCCTAACATGTTATAACTTCAGAAAATGACTACTGAGAAAAACTGACTAACATGATTGTGTGCAATCCCCCCAATCAAACTGGACTTCCATTAGTTGCACCAGCTGTCAATATGTCTTACCTGCCCATAATATGAGACAAATGTTTTGATCATTCACACACGTGATTTCTGTTAGGGCTTTCATACAACATGTATACAAAATATAGCCTACTGTAATAATTTGTGGTGTTTCTAATAACATATAAGTAGCCTCTATCACTGTGCTGACATATGCGATCCTGTCCTGATGTGATTTAGGCACTACCCTGTATTATTAAGCGGGAGGAAAATGTAAATTGCTATAGCCATAATCATATTGCCCCTTAATATGACTGATTTCATTATGTCATCCAAACACTAAGAAAACGAAACGCATGAGGATATCTAAAAACAAAAAAAACAATGAATCGAGACGTCGCAATACAAACGCACGATGACACCGACAGCATTTATCGATTTGCAGCTCAACAGCCGAACAGGTTTGATTGTAACAGAACACCGTTTTTTTTTTTGTATTTAACACTGCACCGACACTGTGAAAATGGTAGGGGACACATAGCAGAAAGCCATATCGCAGATATAACAGGTTTACTAGCTAAATGAAACATATAGCAGCGGTTGCTACTCACATGTTTGGCAAGGATTGTTAGGCTGGCTATACGAATCGGGAATGATCAAGAAGACTGCAAATTGTTGTCAACGGCGGCTGCGAGAGGAGCTAGTCAGCTAGGAGTCGGTTTCTGATGCTAATGGATATGACACTTGCTTAATAAGAAAGGAAAATAAATTATGTGAAAATAAAGCAATAAACTGTTGTTATTTTTTTCCCTTTACGCCCCCTGCTGCAGCACGGGCCTCTCTTTGACATTTCCCGACCACCGGGTTGAGAGTTCACAATCAGACAACGAGGTTTTGTGGAGAGACAAGAAGGTATAGAACGCTGGAGGACTGGATGTGATGTTTAAGATGTAAATATGGTTTGCTATAGGACGAGCTATATATGAGTTACTGTAGGTGGAGCAAATCATCCCAGTAGGATCAGAAGGGGGCTTTCCATCCATAGCCTAATGCTCTTGTGAGCACTGAGTCACTAACAAATCCAATCCATTAGAAGAATAATGAGAAGAAAAAAACACATGCTTTATCGTTTGAAGATCATCTACTTTTACCTAATTCATCACCAGATGTACACTACTGGACCATGCTGGTTTTTATAAGTCTAAAGGACATAATTTCACTGCCCTTCAACCTTATATTATATTATTTCTATTATATTCCTATTCTGTTATTTTCTATGTGATATCCAAGTACATCAAATATAATATAATAAAATATATTTAATATGTATACAGTACCAGTCAAAAGTTTGGACACACCTACCTCGTTCAATGGCTTTTCTTTATTTTGACTATTTTCTACATTGTAGAATAATAGTGAAGACATCAAAACTATGAAATAACACATATGGAATCATGTTGTAACCAAAAAAGTGTTAAACAAATCAAAAGATATGTTATATTTGAGATTCTTCAAATAGCCACCCTTTGCCTTTATGACAGCTTTGCACACTCTTGGCATTCTCTCAGCCAGCTTCACCTGGAATGCTTTTCCAACAGTCTTGAAGGAGTTCCACATATGCTGAGCACTTGTTGGTTGCTTTTCCTTCACTCTGCCGTCCGACTCATCCCAAACCATCTCAATTGGGTTTAGGTCAGGATTTGTGGAGGCCAGATCATCTGATGCAGCACTCCATCACTCTCCTTCTTGGTAAAATAGCCGTTACACAGCCTGGAGGTGTGTTGGGTCATTGTCCTGTTGAAAAACAAATGATAGTCCCACTAAGCCCAAACCAGATGAGATGGCGTATCGCTGCAGAATGCTGTGGTAGTGATGCTGGTTAAGTGTGCTGTAAAATTATATCCTGTACATAAAACTAATAACACTTGAAACTATATTCTAATGTACAGACTAGAATATGTTCCGGGATTCATCCGATGGCATTGAGGAGTTTACCACATCAGTCACCGGCTTCATTAATAAGAGCATCGACGACGTTGTCCACACAGTGACCGTTCATACATATACGAACCAGAAGCCGAGGATTACAGGCAACATCTGCACTGAGCTAAAGGCTAGAGCTGCCACTTTCAAGGAGCGGGACACTAATCTGGACACTTATAAGAAATCCCGCTACGCCCTCCGACGAACCATCAAACAGGCAAAGTGTCAATACAGGACTTGGATCGAATCCTACTACACCGGCTCTGGCACTCGTCGGATGTGGCAGGGCTTGCAAACTATCATGGATTATAAACAAGCCTACCAGATGAGCTAAATGCCTTCAATGCTCGCATTGAGGTAAGCAACACTGAATCATGCATGAGAGCACCAGCTGTTCTGGACGACTATGTGATCACGCTCTCTGTAGCCGATGTAAGACCTTTAAACAGGTTAACATTCAAAAGGCTGCAGGGCCAGATGGATTGCCAGGACGCACACTCAGAACATGCACTGACCAGCTGGCAAGTGTCTTCACTGACATTTCCACCGCTCCCTTACTTTGTAATACCTACATGTTTCAAGCAGACCACCATAGTCCCTGTGCCCAAGAACGCCAAGGTAACCTGCCTAAATGACTACCTGTAGCCATGAAATGCTTTGAAAGGCTGGTCATGGCTCACATCAACACCATCATCCCAGAAACCCTGCACTCCAATTCACATACCGCCCCAACAGATCCACAAATAACGCAATCTCTATTGCACTACACACTGCCCTTTCCATCTGGACAAAAGGAACACCTACGTGAGAATGCTGTTCTTTGACTACAGCTCAGCGTTCAACACCATACTGCCCTCCAAGCTCATCACTAAGCTCAGGACCCTGGAACTGAACCCCTCCCTATGCAACTGGATCCTGGACTTCCTGACGGGCCGCTCCCAGTAGGTGTGGGTAGGCAACAACACATCCGCCATGCGTGCTTAGTCCCCTCCTGTACTCCCTGTTTCACGACTGCGTGGCCACGCACGACTCCAACACCATCATTAAGTTTGTCATTGACACGACAGTGGTAGGCCTGATCACTGATGATGATGAGACAGCTTTTAGGGAGGAGGTCAGAGACCTGGAAGTGTGGTGCCAGGACAACAACCTCTCCCTCAACGTGAGCAAGACAAAGGAGCTGATCGTGGACTACAGGAAAAGGAGGGCCGAGCATGCCCCCATTCACATCGACGGGGCTGTAGTGGAGCGGGTCGAGAGCTTCAAATTCCTTGGTGTCCACATCACTAAGGACCTATCATTGTCCAAACACATCAACACAGTCGTGAAGAGGGCATGACAATGCCTATTCCTCCTCAGGAGGCTGAAAAGATTTGGCGTGGGACCTCAGGTCCTCAAAAAGTTATACAGCTGCACCATCGAGAGCATCCTGACTGGTTGCATCACCGCTTGGTATGGCAACTGCTCGGCATTCGACCGCAAGGCGCTACGGAGGGTAGTGCGTACGGCTCAGTACATCACTGGGGCCGAGCTTCCTGCCATCTGTAAGGTTCTGTATTTATTTTCTTAGTCAACCTTGTGTTCTTCGCAAAAGGCAGGAATCATGGTCACAGGCAGGCAATGGTCATACACAGGTAGACAAACAGGCAGGAGAATCAAAAACTAGGACTGAAGGCTATAACTGGTTCTCACAAACAAGCTAGGAAAAGGCTTAGTAGAGTCAAAATTAACAATACCTCACAAGGCACAAACAGAATGAACTGAACTAAATAAGGAGCTAATGAGACCAGGTGAGTAACAAACACAGGTGAATTAAATTAACAAAAATGAAAGACAGGGCTACGTTCAGGAACACAAAGAAACAGGGCTACGTTCAAGAACACAAGGTTGACTAAGAAAATAAATACAGAACCGTACACCATCCAGGACCTCTATACCAGGCGGTGTCAGAGGAAGGCCCAAGTACAGGTACCCCTTGTATACAGTATATCCTCGTTATTGTTATTTTATTGTGTTACTATTTTTCCTTTAGTTTATTTAGCAATTTTTTCTTACTACTTTTTTAAAACTGCATTTGTAAGGTCTACTCCTGTTGTATTCGGCGCATGCGACAAATACAATTTGATTTGATTTGAATGTGACAAATAGAATAGAATATAATATATTTTCAGTACAGCTGGTAAAAAAAGGTATTCTATTCTAATGTACCTGGATGTGATGTATGAAATATAAAAGAATGTAATAGAATATAAATAGAATAGAATGACTTTATCTCCCTTAGATATAATTTGTGGCATTTGGATGAAATAAAAACACATAACAGCACATTTCACACGTGGCAAATAGCTTACATATACGTATTTATATCTTCATTGTTAGTGTTTTTGTTGATGGCCCCAGGCCCACTCTGTGATGATGGTATGGTATCCACATTTTACAGAGTAAGGCTTTTTAAAAAGTGAAAGCTTGCGCAGCTTCTGCGCAGCATTCTAGACAAAAGAACGACTGGTAGAGGTTATTGAATTATCGTTCTCCTAGCAGCAGGATATTATGCTGGCAGCACGATCGTGGATAATGTATTTTCTAAATAAGAGTCCCCCTGCAAAGACATGCTAAACTTTGGGAATATTTTTTTTGCACTATAGTGCAGTACAACTGTTTTTTACAGCATTGCAACCACCTTTGAAAAAATAAATGGATAATTTGACCTATTTTGAAAGTGTACACAAATACTGGTAGGCAATGTCCAATTGCTGACACAAAAAGCTAAGTTTGGTTTAAAAAAAAAAAAAAAAAAAATGTTATGTGGGTGATGGACATACCTAGGCAAACAAACTATGAAGGGAAATAAGTGGCTACAGTTTACACTTTTTTGTTATTTAATGAAATGTTGTTTTTAGAAAAGGGGTGTTTTACCCAAGTACTGGGGTAACTGGTACTCTACAACCCAATATGTATCCCATGTACAGTCTATTACAATGTATTGCAATTGGGGCTATGGAGGGTCAGAGTAAAAAGACAGCAGCAGGCCATGCGACACAGCCCCCCTCAAAAACGAAACATATTTGGTTAGTAGAGACTGAGTATTTTCCACCCCACTTCAGCCCATTGGGTCCCACTGTAATGCCGGTGCGTTTTGGACTTCTAACTCATTTTGAACATTGTGTGTTTCATCTACAGACTTCTGGGTTGTACCATTGGATTCATCTATTTCTTCTGCATCTGTAGATACCAACCATTAGTCTGATTAATGGGGGGCTGAGCTAGAGCAGATGGGGTGGAGAACGAAGTGCTGCTGGATATGTAAGACACAGACAATATTTATCCCACGTACTGTCTAATATTACAGTGTATTGCATTGGGGGCTATGGAGGGGGCAGAGTGAAAAGCCAGCAGAAGGCTGTGGGAGACAGTCCCCCTCGAAAACTAACCATATTTGTTTAGTAAAGACCCTAAGGAGTATTTTCCACCCCACGTTAATGGAGACATGTAGAAAAGTAAGTTATCTCTCCAGCCCAATATTCTCACCATACCAGTGTCAACATTGTATGTTTTCATTATTGGTCTTGGAAAATGTTTTTTAAACTATATTTTTTATTTGTTTTCATAAATTACTTATTGCTTTTTCTTGTTGGCCATTGATTAAAATGTAATATCTTTTGAATGATTTATCCACATTGCAATGTTTTGAAATGCGGTCATTACCATACGAACGTGGCTTCATCATTTGTACTGCTAGCAGAATACTAGTGGTTATAGAAGGGTTTTGTAACACATTGGGAGTGTCCTCCTAAACAAGAACTGCATGATAAGAGAACCCGATCCTTGAGAGAAGCATTTTATCTTAGTTTTTCAGAATGTTTTAGAAAGGTGTTGTCTGGCCACCACTCTGTTCATTTGCTCACCCTACCCTGAACCGAAGCCTACAAGCTCTGTGTAAGAACCGAAGCCTACAAGCTCTGTGTAACAACATCCTCGAACTATCGCACTTATCTATCTAACAGGTAAGCAGGTAAGACTACATTGTTGCAATAGATTGACACAAGTTTGACAATGTTGCAATTTATCTTGTTAGTTGTTACAAAGTTGCAAATTAACCATAACGTTCAATAATCATAAACGGAACAGAGTGGAGAATGGAGAAAGTATGGTTTGGTATTTGATAAATGTTTCTAATGTCCAATTTCCTCTTCTGATGCATGAATGGGATCTTTGTAAAGCCTTATGTGTCATGTGTTTATTTGAAACTAAACTTATATAGCTTGATAATGCAATTTATTTTTCAGTGAAAGTGGCCTACTAGGCCTAGCCTTCTGCCTACAATAACTTTGTTGATGAGTTGCCAGGTGAAGTGCTTGCGCAGGGTCCTTACATCATGTGATTGAAAGACAGTTTAGTAATTTAGGTCATCAAAGGGAAATGCATTTGCAATTGGCATAGGTCTACTCTAAACTACTTTCCAATAAAGTGTTTGTAGTTTATAAATTATACATGCAGGCCTATAGGCTATAAGCAATTATTCAATCTTGTTAATTTATTATACCATTTAGAGTGCAGCAGTTTGGTAGTTTAGTGTCATTTTAATTCTGAAGTTGCAATAGGCACATCAAATTATGGGACCCACCTTTGCTATACGTCACGGTGGGCGTAGATTTCAGCGCACATACGGGTGCACAGTGTCGAGAACAAGCCCCGCTGATGTCTGGATCTTGCAAACTATTCAACACACTGCGCATTTCCAATTTACCCCAGGGTTTCACCCAAAAGGCTCAGACTTTTACGCTACCATCTACGCGGGCCGGCTCTAACTTGGGGCCAAGGCAAGGCCGCTGGGGATTTCCGGGCTACATTTACACAATAATGGCTAACTGTGAACATGGGTTTATAGTACACCTTTGAAGGTTAACACTTTCTCTCAAAGCAACTGTTTTGATTATGCAGAGGTTGTTGATTCTCTCTTCACAAGTCTCCACTGTCAGCCCTAGCTATGGAAACACAATTTAAAACATCAGGGGATATACACTAGTGTAACACTGGTGTTACAGTCGAAAAGCAGCAATAGAGAGCAATTGGCTAAACCTAACTACAGTAATGGATGTTGCTGTTTCAAGTAAACCAATGTAATCGCTGAATGTTTGCATCGGACAGTCCTTGCACTTTGAAACCCACGCCCACTGAGCGAAATGCCTTGAAAAGAGTGTCCCATCCTATGAAATTATAGCCTACTTTTACAAGTGTAATGAATTCTACTGAATAATAATTAACAGGTTTAACCAACGTAATGAACTAATCATTAACAGGCAGCTCCCTCTCTTCTCCAGACATGTCGTGGCTGCCTATGCTTGGCCTGACTGCCCTGCCTCATCTAGGGGGGCTCTATGGAGGCTACGTGACACGCAAGCAGGTGAAAACCTGGTACCCCACTCTCAACAAGCCGTCATGGCGTCCACCTAATGCTGCGTTCCCGATAGTGTGGACCACCCTCTACACAGGCATGGGGTGAGTGAGAGACAGCATACTCTATCAGGTTGAAAACAATCCTCTTAACCCCTTCCATTATCAGATTTTAATTGCAACCTGTAAAGCTACACCTATCTAGATTCTACATAATAATGCTGTTTCCCAACTGAATGTGGTGGAAATCAGCTTCACACATTTCATTCAGTAAAGCATGTTACCACTTGTTTTTTAAATGAATCATGAAATATGGAACTGACATGCATTTTATTTTTGATGATCACCCTGATAGGTATGGCTCCTACCTGGTGTGGAAGGAGTGTGGGGGTTTCACTGAGGATGCTGTGGTACCTTTGGGACTCTATGGGTTGCAGCTGGCTCTCAACTGGGCCTGGACTCCCATCTTCTTTGGAGCACACAAGTTGAAAATGGTGAGCTCTCAGATATTGCAATGGTCGTGGGCTGAGCAAAAGGACTCATGGCTTCCGGTTTTGAGATTGAGTTCTCTTGGTACATAAAAACGTTTTTTTTAAAGAGCAGTACACTCAAAATGAGAATTTCTCTGAATATTATTTTTGCCATTAGGTGATCCGTAGACACTTTCCATTGTAAAAACCACCTCCATTCTGCTGCCGTGAGTGTGACATGACACATGATCCATTGTGTCCTCTCTCTCCCAGGCACTCATAGAGATAGTGATGATGACTGGTGCTGTTGGAGCCACCATGGCATCCTGGTATCCCGTAAATCGCACTGCCAGCCTGCTCCTGACACCCTACCTGGCATGGCTGTGCCTGGCCACTTCCCTTAACTACTGCATCTGGAGAGATAACCCAGATGAGGATGGAAAGGAGGAGTAGGCAACACGGTATTCTCTGTACTTGGTTCCAGCTCCATTGGCCAAACAATTAAGCCATTTGTATAATGATGACATGCTACTGCATTTTTTATTTTGTACATAAAATGTTTCTCCCATAACCTAATCTCCAATGAGAAATTGGGGCTAGGCTTTAGTAAGATTTAAGAAATTATGTTTTTCACACCCCTTTAATTTATTCCAATATTTCTGTTGAAGAAGCTTACCATGGCTTTGCATTAGACTGATATTTCCTTGTCTTATTACAAGGAAAGTACATGCCATATGTTGTTCATATTAAAAAACCTCGTAATTTATATGCCCCGTCATTTCTTCTGTATGGTACAATGGCCCTGCTTAAATGACGAGAGAACCAAAGAAATAAGAATAACGTTTTATTTCTAAAGTGGCTGAAGGGGAAAGGAAACATATACAGCACAAGTGCTACTTGTTTTCAGGAGCCTTCTCAGGGGTGACATCTTCTGGTTTGGTGGAGAATCGCTCTGTGAGAGTTTTCCACAAGCCCTTCTTCTCTTCATCCATCTGCTGCATGCTACCTGAGAGTGAAGAGACAAGAGAGGGGTTAGAGAGACATCAGAACCATTACCACCCTGTGGAGTTCCTTTAGCCTGGGTGCCAGTCTGCTGTTTCGGCTCTCTTGCAGACTGGGTGCCAGCCTCCTGCTGAAAGTGTGCGGGTGTCTAGTCTGCCAGAGGGCCCCCAGGCTAGTGCTAGTCTGTCTCTCCTCTCTAAGGAAAAAGCTTCTATGAACATGTTGGTATCCTCAAAGTCCACTAGATGGTGCTATGAGGCCAATTAACACTTCAGGTGTTGTTTTTGAGACAATATCATGACTGATATAGTAGTCTATGCTTATTTCAATGATGTGTCTACAATTGACAGTAGTAGAAGACATTAAATAATAATAGAACATTTGTTATCATTGAAGAGAAATAGGGAGGTGTGTATGTCCTCAAAATAAATACAGAAGCATTTCACTTGTGATGGCTAATTTATTGCAACATAACTAGCCACTGTCATATTCACATAGCTGCAAGTATAAATTAATAAATAAAGTGATATACTTGGGAAAATGGATATGTAGAGACATTGTGTCCATACCTGTTGCTAATATCATTCTACATTCTTCCACTGTGACACCTGTAAAACTGGTGTCTCTTGTGCGGGGGAACTGTGAACAGATATTACAGGAGTTAAAGGTGATAACCCTGACTGACATCACTTGGCTGATTCCAAGCTCTCATAGCTGCTGCAAGAAGCAAATGTATCAGGTAATGGACAGATATCGTTCTTTGTGGTCCCGGCTGTGGATTTGGGCCTATCGGTTGGTTAGGCCTATGCTATGATATGATAGTCTCTACATTAAAGCCAATACAATATCAATAGGGATATAAGGGAATACTTACTCGTTCTCTGTATACGTTAGTGTTAATCCGTGCCAAGCTTTCATACATTTGATCACACTTCTCTGGATCCGAGAGCTGTCAAGAAAGATCAGAACAGTTAATAGGGGATCCATACAATATCCACATCTAGCAACTATCCACATACAAATAAGGGCATTTTGTAAGATTTGGGGGAACAATCTGTAAGATTTCATGCAGTTCAACTTCAAAATAAGTGTGCAAATAACTAATGTATAGTTTCGAAATGTCTAAAACCATCATGTTAATATTAGGTCAGGCTACATTTCCTCAGCCCCATTCCTCAATTTACCTAACAGTGGCAGAAGAAGGCTTTTCAAATGACAGATTATGCCTTTGCCTTTTATAAGTAAACCACCCCCTCTGTGATGCTGCACTTAGCCTACTGCATGATTGTTTGGACTGTCGTGTCTCACAACTCAATAAAATCTCTTGAAAAACATTTGAAAATAGCTCTACAGGTTGCGTTTTTCATTACTAAACATGACGCTTGTTTAGCATGTAACTGCAAGGTCGATATGGACGGGTGCCCTCTCATCATCATCATCATCATCATCATCATCCAACGCTAGCTAAATTTCTGCCTGAAGCTATCTAGCCACATTGGTTGGCGTTCTCGTGCGACATATGAAGTGGAATCGTTTTACCTGTGTGTTTTCACCTTCACGAAAGGCATGGGCTACTCTCTGTCTTAGAAACGTTCCTAAATCACGGCCTTTCTTTGATTCGTCCCGTGGCCATTCTTCGCAGAGTTTCAAGAACCGACGGTACCGTGTTGCAGACATTTTCTGTTATGGAACACAAAAAATCACGAATACGTTAGATAACGACATCGACCTGAGTTTGGCCGCTATCGGCGACCGTAGTTAAAACCTCATGGTGTTCCGTACTGGTGTTACATGTAAATCCTTCCCCTCGTTGGGAAATCGTTATTTAGCAGAAAGGCAAGCACTCACGCTAAACACCTGAGATGAGTGGAGCTGGGAAAAAGGCTGTCGGAGTACCGTCTGGTGGTGTCGGGGAATGGATCAGTACCGCATATCGGTTCGCTACAGATAGGAATGATTTTAGAAGGTAGTTATGATTAAACATAAATATTTCGTAATGTAACATTCGCATAGTAGCTAGCCCCACACACACACAAGTGTCAGAGTCAACGTGTAACTAACTCAGTGAATTAATTAATTATTGTCTCCAGTGATTTATTCATAAAGATCCTTTTGTTGTATATAATTATATGAATTCATTGTTTAATGTGTCTTTATGTAGGAACCTACTGGTCAACCTGGGCCTTTTTGCAGCTGGAGTTTGGGTTGCCAGGAATCTCTCAGATTTTGACCTGATGTCCCCTCAACCAATCACGTAGTGCTATAACTGAATGGATGTCGGTATGTACAAGGCAGGCCTCACCTTAATTCATGTTTGATTACCTGGTATATGTGTAATATTGGTTGTTGCTAGTTGAATGAACACCAGTATTAATATCTCTTTTATTTTCAGGTGTCTCGGACCAAAATGACAGTCGAAGGGACAAGATATTTGCTTTATATTTACTGTTTTATTGTTTGTTGGTGATGGAATGTTAAAGATTGTCTGGAAACTGGTGTGCCTGGTAATTACTTTATTCAAACTGTATTGCTTTCAGTATGTCAACACACTTTCAGTTCTTTTTTTAAATATTTTGTTCTTGTTAGATGAAATGCACACAGTGACACTATAACTTACGGCAATAATTGACCTACTTAAATAAAGGTAATAATACTTTAACACTTGTATCTTAAGTGCTAGAGAGAACATCAAAACTGGGCTAGGTATGAAATCATTCATCAAATATAGAAATTCTTCAAGAATCTAAGTCAGTGCATGTCCATTTAGACATGGGGGCAAGCGAACCTGCGTGTGCCATGCTACTGCTGTCAGTGTCAACAAGGAAATGCGACGACCAGAAGCAGGCATACTTTGAAGTTACCGTTAGATTGATGAATAGTTTAACTTGAGAAACAATGATATGTAGCCTACTAATTAATTAGTCAAAGTAAATTATATGTGGTAAGAAAGGCATGAGCGGTGTTCTAAGTTTTGTTCAATTCATTACTAGGCTAGCTAATGTTGTTTTTTTTGCTAGCTAGCTACACTGTGCTAGCTAACTACACTGAACAAAAATATAAACGCAACATGTAAAGTGTTGGTCCCATGTTTCATGAGCTGAAATAAAACAAATCCAGAGAAAGCTTTTCTCTCAAATGTTGTTTACATCCCTGTTAGTGAGCATTTCTCCTTTGCCAAGGTAATCCATCCACCTGACAGGTGTGGCATATCAAGAAGCTGATTAAACAGCATTATCATTACACAGGTGCACCTTGTGCTGGGGACAATAAAAGGCCACTCTAAAATGTTTTGTTTTGTCACAACACAATGGCTGCAGTCCTAACTCAAAGTAGACAGCCCTTGACCCTAAACCCTCAGCCCTTGAATTAAGTTTTACATCGTCACATCCGAGTGTACCTTAAATGTCCCTTGCCCAAGTGAGGGAGAGTAATGATCGGAGATGCAACGTCCTTGGTGGAAATCTTGAAGTTGAGCTTAAAAACAACCAACCTAAAGCTATTAATGTACCTAGCAAGCTAACGAAGTTAGCTACAGTTACCCATACTAGCTGTCTAGCTAGTTTTATAGTTTGGTCATTTATTCCAATACATTTCAGAATTCCCCCAAATATGTTTATGAAGCTAGGTACGTTTTATAGGCTCCTCACTCCGAGACTAAGCCAATTTGCCAACTCTAAAATCAATGTCATATATATTTTAGCAAGCTAGTATCATAATTTTGTCTGCAGCCGTGTTGATTAAATGTGACACTTTGCGGCCACCGGAGGATGACACATGACTACAGTTTGCATTGAATTGTGGGTCATATCAACCCCACAAGTGATCAAAGTTCTTCACTTCACTAAATCGAGGGCCGAGGGGGCAACGTTAGTGAATTGCATCTTCAATCAAACTGCATCCAGTTTAGACAGGGATTCCCCCAAGGGAAAGTGGCTAGCGCAAGGGCTGAGGGGGTAAAAATAAAGTGTTTGGACTGCAGCCAAAGCCACAGATGTCTCAAGTTGAGGGAGTGTGCTATTGCCATGCTGACTGCAGGAATGTCCACCAGAGCTGTTGCCAGATCATTTTTTCATTTCTCTACCATAAGCCGCCTCCAACGTCGTTTTAGAGAATTTGGCAGTACGTCCAACCGGCCTCACAATCACAGACCATGTGTAACCACGCCAGCTCAGGACCTCCACATCTGGCTTCTTCACCTGTGGGATCGTCTGAGACCAGCCACCCGGACAGCTGAGGAAACAGAGGAATATTTCTGTCTGTAATAAAGCCCTTTTGTGGGGAAAACCCCATTCTAATTGACTGGGCCTGGCTCCCAAGTGAGTGGGTGTCTGCCCTCCCAGGCCCACCCATGGCTGCGCCCCTGCCCAGTCATGAAATCCATAGATTAGCCTAATTTATTTATTTCAATTGACTGATTTCCTCATATGAACTGTAACTTAGTAAAATCTTTGAAATTATTGCATGTTGCGTTTATATTTTTGTTCAGTATAGTTCCCCCTGCAAGCTCGCTATGCTTGAGTTAGGTGCAAAACTCCTACTAACACACACTATTTCAATTGCAATGAGTATTCTGAATAAATGTTTTGGTCAGCATAGCGTTTCATTTCCCACGTTCAAATCACCCTAGGAGCAATCCATGGCTTCTTCAGACCTCTTTGTTGCTGCTGCTCGCAAGTGTCTGCGAGTTAGAAAGAATCCGTTCTCTGCCTCTGTGAGTCTGAACCTGGCTGCTCAGGTCCTGGCTGTGGACTTGGGCCTGAAGCCTGCTCTGCTAAATGACAGTAATACAGCATCTGCAGAGCATGTCCAACAGTATCTAAACTCTCTGCAGGCTGCACAACTTGTGTCCAAATCTCTAAAGACAGTGGTCATCAGTGAGAATTCCCTGATTGTGAACCCATCCCTGACTATCACAATCCTGGAGGAACTTCTCCTGAGGGGGACTGTGACCGTCGTGGATGTATGTCACTCACTGGAGCAGCTTGCCGTCACTGAGCTACAGTGGGGAGCTATCAGGGACATGATTAAGGCTTTACTTGCTCATATCAGACAGTTTGGGCAACAGAGATGATGTGACACTTGGAATCTGTGCACTCTCTTTGGAATTCTATTGGGCTACCCCTCCACCTACTGCTTTGACCAGAGCAGGAGCTTTGAGAATTGCCTAACTATGACTCTACTGGTGGTGACCAAGGCTATGGCATCATGGCAGGTTGGTGATGTTGGAACTGAGGCGGGTCACAGGTATTGCCTGTATTCCTTCAGTACCCCAGAGGTGCTACAGGCAGAGACTCAGTCAGTGCTGGATAACTGGACTAAACAACTTCAGGAAGGCTTTCAGGAGCAGACTGTCTTCTCTGGACTCAGTGTGACCAGGTCAACTGTCACCTTACCTTCTGTGGCTCTGTGATTCCAATGGCACTATGTTGATGGATATTATAGAACATATTATAAAATGGAATTATATAAGTTGTTTTATTTATTTATTGAATATGTAAATCCCCCTCATTTGGTAAATGCATTTGTCAGGGGAGTTTGCACCCATAACTGATGCTGTGGTGTTGACATTACCTAAACCATGTATGTGCACTGACAAGACTAGATCCCCCACAATATTATTATTATTAGGCCTATATATCTAAAACTAATCTTTAAAACTCTGTAGTTATTGCACCTATTTTCCATATTGGTGGTTGTCTGTAAAGTATATACTAGTTAGCTAAAGCGATGGATAGGCTAAGTGGAAAGTAGAATAATAACCATTCATTCCTATGAATGACTATTACTTCCAGGGAGGATCAATAAGGCGGGCGCTAACTTCAGAATAGTGCCCTGTCAGCCATAGAGTATATAGTGCCTTCAGAAAGTATTCATACCCCTTTACTTATTCCACATTTTGTTGTATTACAGCAGCGTTGTCAAACTCATTCCATGGAAGGCCTAGTGTCTGCTGGTTTGAGTTTTTTCCTTTGAATTAAGACCTAGACAACGAGGTGAGGGGAGTTCTGTACTAATTAGTGACCTAATTCATCAATCAAGTACAATGGAGGAGTGAAGACCCGCAGACACTCGGCCCTCCGTGGTGGAATGAGTTTGACACGTGTTACAGCCTGAATTCAAAATGGATTACATTTTTTAAAAATCTCACCCATCTAAACACAATACCTAATAATTACAAAGTGAAAACCTGTTTTTAGAAAAGTTTGCAAATGTATTGAAAATTAAATGCAGAAATGTCATTTACACAACAAAAATATAAACACAACATGCAACAATTTCAAAGATTTTACTGTTACAGTTCGTATAACCAAATCAGTCAATTGAAATAAATTCATTAGGCCTTAATCTACATTTTTACATTTTAGTCATTTTAGCAGACACTCTTATCCAGAGCGACTTACAGTTAGTGAGTGCATACATTTTTTGTTTAAAAAAAATCATACTGGCCCCCCGTGGGAATCAAACCAACAACCCTGGCGTTGCAAGCGCCATGCTCTACAAACTGAGCTACACGGGACCACTAATCTATTGGAAAAAATTGTGTTTGACCAGATACAATGCTATTTTACAGTAAACAAATTGACAACAAACTTTCAGCATGCTTTTAGAAAAGGACATTCAACAAGCACAGCACTTACACAAATGACTGATGATTGGCTGAGAGAAATTGATGATAGAAATATTGTGGGGGCTGTTTTGTTAGACTTCAGTGCGGTTTTTGACATTATCGATCATAGTCTGCTGCTGGAAAAACGTATGTGTTATGGCTTTACACCCCCTGCTATAATGTGGATAAAGAGTTACTTGTCTAACAGAACACAGAGGGTGTTCTTTAATGGAAGCCTCTCAAACATAATCCAGGTAGAATCAGGAATTCCCCAGGGCAGCTGTCTAGGCCCCTTGCTTTTTTCCATCTTTACTAATGACATGCCACTGGCTTTGAGTAAAGCCAATGTGTCTATGTATGCGGATGACTCAACACTATACACGTCAGCTACTACAGCAACTGAAATAACTGCAACACTATTTTTTGTCATTTAGCAGACGCTCTTATCCAGAGCGACTTACAGTTATTGACTGCCTACATTTCTTTTTCCATACTGGCCCCCTGTGGGAATCGAACCCACAACCCTGGCGTTGCAAACGCCATGCTCTACCAACTGAGCTACATCCCTGCCGGCCATTCCCTCCCCTACCCTGGACGACACAGGTACATACACACATACATATAGACACTCACTCTACACACACGTACACA